CTATTCCAACTGAAAAAACAAACTAAAAAATACATATTATAAGACAAACGATCAAGGCTACGTCCCAGACCCAACACGGCAACAACTGCAGGCGGGCGCGCGCGGCGGCAGCCAATTAGGGCGCGGCAAATGCGGAACAAACCGGGCGCGATCGACAAGCTGGCAGGAGCGAGACTGCATGCAGATCGAGATTGATCATGCGTCGCAGCACGCGGCACGGACGATGGAAGAAGCTCCGGTCCGGATCGAAGGCCCCCTTGCATATGGATGCAGTGCAAGTTGCGCGCTGCTGCCGTAGCACACAGTAGTTATTTCTGCATGCATGCCGGCCTCCAGCTCGATCCGGCCGGCCTGCATCTGCATGCGCTAGCTGCGGCCATTGAAACGAAAAAGGACGGGCAATCCGTGATTACGGAACCGGAGCGTGATGGCAAAGGTGTGTTGCGTGCATGCATGGACGATAGCCATCGATGGGGACTTGGGGAGGAAACTAGCTAGCAAAAGGCCCAGACGACTGTTAGACAGAGGGGCGGGGAGGAGGTGAAAGAAAAGAAGAGAAAGAAAGCCAGCATGCTACTACTCTAGTAGCCTGCATGTGTGGTGCGTGCATGTGGCGGATCATGGCTTGGCGGGGACCAAACCAACAGGGGAGGATGATTGGATATATACTGGGGAAATGGAGAAGCGAGAGGATATACTATGCCACATGCATGCATATTATGGAGTACATTCTTCGCTGCTACTATTATGTAATCAGCTGCACATTAGACTGTCTCTGACAAGAAACTTATATGGACATCCAAACCTAAAATGGGTAGTAAGAGATCCAAAATTAATCTCCAACAGAATATCTATATGGGAGATCTATTTTAGGTTGTCTGAGAGACACAACCCAAATATGGGCATTCTCTCTCCTGGAAATCCATTTGCAGAAAGGATTATCTTTTAGGTCTGTTTGTTGAAGAAGATGCCGAATATGTATTGAACCTTTTGACCTGTAGCGCTACCCAAAGGATGAATGTGTCTTTATTTTGGGTGTTGTTGTTGGAGATAGCCTTAGTAATGTAACGCTACTAGCTAAAATGCATGTGAACTGTACTATTGCTGTATATATAGCGTCGCATTTTGGATCGTAGGTACAAACATACATGATTACTTTTGTAGTGCCAAATGTACTTTTCAGAAGAAAAAAAATGTATACTTACAGCACCGAACGTACAACAATCGAATATTATTATATATCATCTCCCATGGTGGCAGGCAGGCATGCATGCATGCATTCCGGTACAAATCGAGAACAGTGGACTTCAATGATTTATCCTGCGGGCTCCAGCAGCAGCTGACGAACATTACACCAGTGACAGTGAGTGGCTTGCTGGGCATGCCAACAAGACGACAGTGCAGCTAGTGTGGTAGATCCGAAGGGCGTTTGCACACCGACCGGAGCTACGACGGGCAATGCAAGTTGATCCCAGAACAGTGCGTGGTGTGGATCTCATTCTCATGTGCATCGAAACTGCAAAGCATTTGCATTGCATGGGCGTAGGGACGGCGGAAATGGAGCCAAAACGCGCGGGCGGGCCTGTCTGTGTCTAATACGGACTAGGACTACTCCTATATGCATGTGGCATGCCCACCGAGATAAAAACCAAACGAACGCTTTGTCTGACACGAGGGTGTACGCGCCTTGGCAGCGTGCGGCCGGTTCAGTTCCGGTGATATCTGCACAAGAAAGCGAAATGGAGCAGTACTTTTGTTGAGTAGTACAGTATTTTTTTTATGAAGGCGAGAGCTAGCGTGCATGCATTATCTTTAAACCGCGTCAGCGTGCATGTGAGTTCTTCAGATATAGAGAGATTTTTTTTTCCTTTGAGAATCAGATATAGAGAGAGATGAAACAACCAAGCACAGTCCCTAGGCACAGCTGAGCTGAGACTGACGGGGCCAGGCCCATGGTGAAAAAAACGAGATCCATCCAGGCAGGCAATGAAGGAAGAAAGAAACCCAGCGGAGGAGCGAGGGCGGTCCACCGGAAAGGAAAACCTCCGGGTCACGTCAGCACGTGGCGGCTGGTCCCGGCGACTTTTTGAGCGCCGCCGTTAATCCCCCGCCCGATCAACCCGCGGGGCCCGGGTGCCCAATCCCCCATCGGTCGCCGAGGAGGGCGCGGGCGCGTGGTGGCCACCCACGGACCGCGTTCATAGCCGCTCCCGTGCACCCACCCACCAGATCCGTTGATAAGATGCGGCTCATCTCCCATCCCCCTTCGCGTGTGTACTCATCTTTCTCGAGTGATCAGCGTATTTACAGTGAACCTGAGTGTCTAGGTCTATATTGTATTTCTAAAAAAAATACTCGCTCTGTTTTTTGTCACATTAACTTTATCCTCAGACAAACATTACTTTTTTTATCATCTACTCAAAAAGATTCTTATCATTTCATAATATATGAATTATATATTATGAATATATTTCTCATAGTGAATCTAAAAACATAAATCTTATGTTATGGACCTGTATAATTCTTTTTAAAATCGGTCCTCAAAGATACAGTTATTTAACTTAGGACAAAGCTAGTAAAACGTGTAAAAAATGGAGGGAGTGTGTACACATGTCCATCTAAATTTATCTAAAACAAATCTGTCGGTGCAGAAAGTGACCAACTAGTAAATATTTGTAGTTTTATCGTACGTTGTGATCGGAGGTGGCCTAGCACTCAATGATACAGGGTTTATACTGGTTCAGCCAATGTGCCCTACGTCCAGTTTGAGTCGGTCGGTGACTTTATTCCTGAGCCCAGGTGCTCAAAGTTTACAGTGGGGTTACAAACGAGAAGGAGAAAAGATGGAGTGTATAAGAGGTCCGGTCGGACTACGGTCGGAAGGGCCGAGAGCGACAGGAACTCCGCTACGAGCTAAGTGTTCAAACGTATGCTTGAGGTCCGAACCTGGCGGTTCTGTGGTTGTGAGCTAGTGAACTTGGTCGATATAATGGATCTGGAATAACTTGTATGAACTTGAATCAACTTTCCTTCCTTTTTTTTAGAGAGAGCACATCCCCTTTTATAGATGAAGGGAAGGGCCTTACAAGTGAGAGGGAGAGAGTACGCATGCTTCTAAACCTTGTTGCCCACGCCGGCAGGTACAGGATGATGGTAGGCGCACACAACACTGTTAGATGTCAGATGCGTGTGGGAGGTTACGTCGTCTTTGTTCAGGTATGGCAGATGTCGATACCTGCATATACTGTTGATGCTCAGAGGCATGTGAGGAGTTTCACCATGTTCACTCGGTACGGTAAATTCTGGCGCCCACAACATTGTCGATGCCCAGAGGCATAGGGGGTCTTACCATATGGGAATTAATGGCGCCACAATACTGTAGGTAAAATGTCGATGCCAACAATCGGTTATGCTGTGGTACGGTCCCTGGTATCGTGGTTTGACTTGAGCGCCTTGCCTTGCTTTCTCCGTTTGTTCCCTGGTCCTTTCCGGGCGGGCGTCCCCGGTCGGTTGGTCCCAGTCGGCTCTGGTTGCGCCAGTCGGAGAAGAGCGGTGAGTGGCGAACCTGCGTTCCCCGATTGGGAGACGGGGGTTGAGTCGGTATGCTTTGGCGAGCCTTCCATTCGGAGAGGTTGTCCGGGGATAATGGAGTTCGAGAGAAGGCTCGATCGGAGAGGTGGGCCGGAGTGGGGAAATGTCTGCTTTCTTCTCGCCGGACCTTCCGGTCGATGATTGTGTCACCCTTCTGGCCCGTCGTTCCGATACTTGGGCCGGCCCATGAGTTGCGCGTTGTCTGCTTGGGCCGATCCTTTGTTGGGAAGCCGGTCCGCGAGGGACCCCGGGTTTATAAACCCGACAAAACCTTTCTACCTTTGGCACAATTTTTGCATTGATTGGCGGTAGAAGATTTGCCATTTTTAATTAAAATAGATACCGTTGTTGTGATAATTTCTTATATTATATTTTATAGAGTCACTAGCCAAATAGGATGTTACTCTCTCTGTTATGATTCTAGAAAGACACTTAAGAGAACACTAAAATGACATATGTACCATTGTTTAAATCCAATCAAGAAGTTTCTCCTCAAATTATGGTTTTTAATAAGTGTTGACAAATATGAGCATGGACATCATATAAATGTATTATATTTCATTATAAATTTTAGAAATCGACTTGAACAATAGTGAAAGCCTGCTTGAACAAATAACAACATTGAAATCGTTTAAGTATGAATGTGTGTGCTTTATGCTTTTTATACATAAGAACAAGTGTAACTAATTTAGCTAATCAGATAATTAGAATGCACAATGTGTTACATGGTAAAAAAACACAGTTCATCACAACATCGATGGTACTCTCGGTCACCTAATTTAGCTCCAAAGCACGCGTAGGCCCCACATGTCAGTGGGACAAAGTGCACCGACCAAGCTGTAGGTCTGCCCCATGTCCAAGCGAGTCCCCCTTCCCGCCTCCCTCCCTCCCGCGCTCTTTCCATTACCAGCTGGTGCTAGCTGTCTCTCTCCTCTTGCCATGTGACCTCCCCACGCCCCTCTCATCACTCTATTTCTCTCTCAAGCTCAGCTCAGCTCAGCTCAATCTCTCTCTCACTCCCGCCCTCCCTGATTCCCCGTCCCTGTCATTCCCGTCGCGGCAAGCGGCATTGCCCAATTTAGCGCAGCGCAGAAACGAGACGAGCAAACCGACCCCCGGCCCGGCCCCCTCACCGTCCACCCACGCCAAGCTCGCAGCGGTGGCACGGGCGCGCACCCCGCCAGCATCGGAATTGGATCGAAGCAACAAAAACGCGAGCTAAGAAAAGGGGAGCCGCGCGCGCAATCCCCGGCCGGCACCGCGCGCGCGCGTCGTCGTCGCCCTCGCTACATTGCCGCCCGGGGCCTCGGGCACCGCGGGGCCGGGGAAGGTTTCGGCGTTGCGCCACCGTTCCCGCGTGTTGCGTTGATTCCCCGAATCGAACCAACGCGCGGCGCGGGGTCCCGGCCATGGCGCAGCTGCCGCCCAAGATCCCCACCATGGCGCCGGCGTGGCCGGAGTTCGGGGGCGGGCACCACCACCACCACCAGCAGCGCAGCCCCTCCGTGGGCACGTTCCTCGCCGCGCCCATGCCGCCGCCGCCGCTCCACCCGCAGCCGCAGCAGCAGCTGTCGTGGGTCGACGAGTTCCTCGACTTCTCCGCCGCCAAGCGCGGAGCGCACCGCCGCTCCGTCAGCGACTCCGTGGCGAATGCTGGCGTCGACGACGGCAATGCTGGCGTCGGGGCGTACGACTTCGACCGCCTCGACGACGACCAGCTCCTGTCCATGTTCTCTGACGACCTGCAGCCGCCGCCGCCGCCGCAGGCCGCGCCCGCGCCGGTGGCGAGCTCGTCGTCGCCGTCCGACCACAACAGCATCAACGACGAGAAGACGGACAGGGGCGAGGCCGAGGAGGCGCAGAGCAAGTGCCACGGCGACGCCGCCGACGCCGCGCCGGCCTCCGCCGCCGCAGTCGATCCTAAGCGTGTCAAGAGGTGATCTTTCTTCCCCTGCTGCCCCCTTCATCGCTCAATTCTTGCAATGCGCGACCTTTGCGACGCAGAATTCACCAACCGGGGTGCCTCCCTTGCCGCAAAACTCGCAGGATCCTGGCGAATCGGCAGTCCGCGCAGCGGTCGCGCGTGCGCAAGCTGCAGTACATCTCGGAGCTGGAGCGCAGCGTCACGTCGCTTCAGGTGCGTGTAGAGTTCCGCATCGCCCAAGCATCTAACCGGAGCTGAATTATGCGCTCCGGAAGCATTCCGAGCTGAACTTTGGTCGAACAAATTTGTCCGCGGATGAATTTGTCCTGAATTTTGCCCGAACAAACAAATATGTGCAGACGGAGGTGTCGGCGCTGTCCCCGCGCGTGGCGTTCCTCGACCACCAGCGCTCGCTGCTGACGCTGGGGAACAGCCACCTCAAGCAGCGAATCGCCGCGCTCGCGCAGGACAAGATCTTCAAAGATGGTGACCGCCATTGCCGCCCCCCTCTCCTCCGATTACGATCCTCTCCAGTCGCCATCACAATTCAATTCGCGCTAGCTGCGTGCATGCAGTGGAAGAAGCCACCACCGTGACTGACTGTACCTGAACTGTGTGTGTGGTGTGCAGCTCATCAGGAGGCACTGAGGAAGGAGATCGAGAGGCTGAGGCAAATCTACCACCAGCAGAGCCTGAATAGCGGCGGTGAGCCCCCAGCGCCGGACGCGGCCCCGGTCCGCGGCGACAAGGACGACATGATCGGCAGCAGCGAGGGGACCGCCGCGCCCGCGCCCGGCCTGCCCTCGTGATGAGGAGGCGGGCCGGCGGGGCGACACGTCCATCCGGGTCGGTCGCTGTAGTGGGGATGGCCCTGTCGCCCGCCCATCACAGCGAGGCGCTGCCGCTGCCGCTGCTAGGATTGGTGCATTGCTTGGGTGTGCGTGTGTGTGTGTGCATTCTTTGGGATGTAATTGTAACGTGATTGTGATGTAAAGAAGAGGAAATGGATTGGTTTGGTTTGTTCATTCTTGCATGCATCCTCTCCTGCTGCTGCTGCCGCTGCTCCTTCCACCTCCCCTGATTTGTAATTTTTGTTTGAGCATTTTGGGCGAAGGTTGTAGGTAAAAAAGATCAAATGTAATTCAGATTGGTTGAGGTCAACTTGTGTGTTTGGGGTGGTTTTGTATCTGATAAATCAAAAAAAGAAAGAAAATTGTACGTGTTCAAGTACCAGTGTGGCAGAGTGTCTCTTCTTCCCTCTTGAATTCCTCTTTCTGTTCTATACTCACTGTTTCTTTTTTTTTTTTTTTGAAGCTGTTCTATACATACTCCTCCCTCCCTTCCAAATGTACCTATAAGAAAGGGTGAAACAACTTACAATTTGAGTTTAACAGTAGACTAGTTTGTTTACGTTTTAACGCTGTCGCATGCAAATATGCAATGCAAGGAGCTACTCCAGCATCTCATTCCTTGCTGTTCCGTCACAGGATTTTTTAAACAGGGGCCGGCCGGCCGGCCGCAGGAACACATGAAGGTACCTTACCTTCCTTCCGCTGCAAGGGATAGGCATGTTCGTCTGCAGCAGCAGCAGTGGCAGCACCCGCGCGGTGGAAGTTATTCTGGGTGCCGCAGGTTCGCCTGTGGCTTTGTTCGTGGAGTTATTCAGGTGCCAGTTAGGTTCAGTTATGGCAATATTTTTTCTCCAACAAATTAATTCTATGTTTCGCCACGATAAACACACACCGCCGGGCTGCATTGCAGCAGCCTGTATGGTTTCGGACACACACCGCCCGGCTTTGCTCCTCGCCGTCTTGGCTTCGGCTTCTCCTCAGCGTGGCCATGAGGGACAAACAGTTTGGAGATACCCCATTGACAGGAGGAATCCATTTATTATTGGAGCGCCCGTACGTATGGCTGCATCTACCAAAAACGCCAGTAAATTTATCTGTACGTTCAGTTTTGGCATGTGTCGGTATGCGAATTTCTTACAGCCTCAGTGCACATCGCTGGGGTAATTGACGTGAGAGCATTCATTCTCATCCTGTTCGGATAACCCTTCTTTGAGCACTGAGCGCAGGTTATTGCAACTCCAGTACTATACTCCACCAGTATCTGATTTCTGAAGATTCTCAAAGTTAATTTGATCTTTTTTAAAAACATTCTCAAAGCTGTGTTGAGATGCAACGTCGGGTGGAACTGTAAGGGAAACTAGAAGATGTCCAATGGGCTGGTTGGGCCAGAGTTGCGGAGGCAAGCCTGCCGTAACTAGGCCCACATAGCAGAGGGTCGAGTGGTCGACCAAGATGAGCTTGACACTGTGATCCCTGAAATTGGTGGGCTGGCGGCCTGCTGCGGATTGTGCCAGGTTGCTCTCGGTGGACACAGAGAAATTCTGTGCAAAGGTGCAGGTTGAGAATGGCCTTTACGATGGGAAGGTTCTTAGGGCTGTCGAATACGAGGGCATTTGCAAGATATCCTCATGTTGTACATTATACAACATGATTCATTCCATTTTCCCGGATCATCAAACAATAGCTATACGATCCAGCGTGCTAGCTCTGTCTGTTAAATGCCTAACAGCGTCTGTGCTTGTTATTGCTTGTGCTGGAATGTCTTCTGTTGAAGCAGTGTTGGCTATGTTGATGTTTCCAGTTCACTGTAACTGATGAAAGGCTGTGTGTGAGAATATGGTGTCATGTATGTTTGGTTAACTTCTATATTTCTGCTTCAAGCTAATATTTTACCAGATGTTTTCTATGTAGTTTGACCATTACTTGCCAATCAGTTCTTAATGTGATGATGTCATCATATTTTTGGATGCTATTGTGAAGGTAAAGGACTCTACTACATGAATACCACAAAAAGATAATTGAGAACTAGTAGTAGTAGTCTTTTCAATGTTTTTTTTTCTATGATCTGTGATTTGTACCTTTTGCAAGCATGCTTTCGAAAGTTATTTGATGACAACCGTGCAATTTCTACATTTATCTTCTGAACTGTTCGGCAAGGAATTACAAATGAAATTCAACTCTTTGCTTGACATTCAAGAAACGTCCTAAAATGTATTTCGCTGACTCACTTTTTGTGGCAGATAATGCGCCCAAAGCACATGCTCATACAAGTACTGAAAGGCCTGAAATGTCCTGAAATGCTCCTACTAGCACTATATATAATTATTACTTTACCCGGAAGGCCTGAAAGGCGATAAACGTTCTGAAATGCTCCTGCTAGCACTAGCTGAAAGCTGGTGCTTGTCACTACACCTAGTTCAAATGGGAATGTTGTTACATGAAGCAAATTGACTTGTAAGTTGAGATAATTCATATATAATTACTTCTTTTGGTTTCTCTGCCAGAGGCCAAATTGCCCTTCCTAGGTTCTGCTGTTAGAGTGGCTTCTCCTCTTTTTTTTTTCTCGAAAACACAGGAGAACTGCGCTTCATTGTATTAAGAAAATAATAAAGGGGGGAGGGTAAGAACCCATACAACACAACACACACAAAACACATTGCAGCAGCTGCTGCTGCTACTAGGAAGCTAACGCGCCTTAGACATAGAAAAAACGACCAAAAGAGAGAGAGAGAGAGGACGCTAACCACCCGGAGCAAGGGCATCCAAGAGGGATAATCCTCGAGCCCCCGCCAAAGACCACGACATTCTGTCATCTTCCGCTACAGCAAGAGCGCTTGCAACACTTGGGGCTACGCCATCAAAAACACAACTGTTGTGGTGTCTCCATAAGGTCCAAGCTCCTAGGATCACGAGAGAGTTGATTCCTTTCCTTGCCATGTCACTAGCAGCACTGTTTACTCTCTCCCACCACGAGTGAAAGGATATTTCTGTGGACTGTGGGGAAAGGGCTTGAGTCCCATCCGAGAAAAGAAGCGGAACAGAATTCTCTTGCAAAGACACACTTTGAACTAAGAGGCGATCAATGGTTTTTCTGCAAGACTGATCACACAAAGGGCAAGGTTTCGAGGATGAGGTAGTCCACGGCGTGCAAAGGCGATCCATTGTCCAACAACGGTTGTGAGCCACCAACCAAACAAAGAAGCGGCATTTGGGCGGCGCCTGTGTCTTCCAAATTCTTTTCATTGGGGCTCAAAAGATATAGACCCCACAAAAAATCCCTTGTATGCAGTCTTGGCCGAATACTTTCCATCTGAGGAAAACCGCCAAATATGCCTATTTTCAACACCCGGTTGCAAAGAGAAATCAGACAGGACGTCCCAAAAGAGGAGGAAGTCAACCATTACACCGACCGTGCCAGCCCCTTTTATATCAGAAATCCAAGTCTAGTTGGTAAGGGCATCCTGGACAGTTCGTTGTTTGGTCCTCCTTTTAGGGATAGCGGCGAAAAGACGAGGTGCAAGATCTGCGATACATTGGCCATGGAGCCAACGGTCTGTCCAGAAAAGGGTGTTCGCTCCATTCCCAACTTCGGAGTAAACAACCACTGCAAAGAAGGCTCTAACTTGATATGGCACATGAATTGGAAGATTAGCCCATGGGCGATATGGTTCTGTTTTTTGTAACCAGGCCCATCTCATTCGCAATGCCCGGCCAAGGGATTTAAGGTCTGAAATTCCTAGACCCCCAAGTTCTTTAGGGATACAAACCTTACCCCAAGCAATAAGACAATGCCCTCCTTTTGCATCTCTGCGGCCTCTCCAAAGGAACCCACGTCGAATTTTATCCACTGCTTTAATAGCCCAAGGTGGAAAGTCGATGGCCATAATTAGATAGACGAGCATACCGGTGAGCACAAATTGAACCTGAACCATTCTTCCAACCTTGGTCATCAAATCTGCCTTCCAGCCAGGAAGCTGATCAGCAATACAGTCAATAGTAGGCTGAATTTGAGCCTTGGTAAGCTTCTTCAAAGCGAGAGGCAGTCCCAAATATCTGCATGGGAAGTCAGTGAGTGCATAGGGCAGCAGGTTTTGCACTGCTGCAAGCTCCACATCACCACATCTGATGGGCAATACATTGCTCTTTTGTAAGTTTGTCTTGAGCCCCGTTGTTTCTCCAAATAAATTGAGGATATCCAAGGTTACAACAATGTCACCGGCTTCTGGATGGAGGAACATAACCACATCGTCCACATAAATGGATATTCTGTGGTGTAAGCTGTGCCTAGATAGTGGTTGCAGCAAGCCTTCATTTTCAGCCTTCAAAATCATGTGCCCCAATACATCCATAACCAGGATGAACAACATCGGGGAGAGGGGGTCGCCTTGCCGAAGCCCTCGTCGATGTGCAATCCTGTCACCTAGGATCCCATTTAACAAGACTTGAGTTGAAGAAGAGGATAGCAGCCCGCTGATTATATCCCGCCAAATTTGTCCAAAACCGAGCTACTGCAATATCTCAAGTAGGAAGGGCCAGGATACAGAATCAAATGCCTTCGAAATATCCAACTTGAGTAAAATTCGGGGCTGCTTCTGCTGATGGAGGAACCTTGCTGTTTGTTGCACTAACATGAAGTTATCCTGTATAAAACGCCCTTTTATGAAGGCGCTTTGGTAAGGAGACAATCTGTTGCAGCCTAGGGGCAAGACGATTAGCAAGCAGCTTTGTTACTAGCTTGGCGAAGCTGTGGACCAAGCTTATGGGCCTGAAATCCTTAGGTTGTTCAACACCTTCTTTTTTGGGGAGAAGGGTGATGTAAGCTGAATTCAGAGCTTCAAAATTTACCATCTTCCTACTCCATGCCGCTGAAATTGCTACCATGATGTCTTCTTTTATAATAGTCCAGCATGATTTGTAGAAACGACCTGTGTACCCGTCCGGCCCGAGGGCCTTATCTG